ACGTCTCGTCCTGTGACCGATGCTCAAAGGTAAGACGAATCAGCTTCTTTGGAGTCGGACTTTTTACCCTTTTATGAACGGAAATGTGTGAGACAAAGCAACTGTAGTGCATTTCACTTCATAGAATCTATCTTTAATGATTCGAATATTAGCATTACTAACAAATGTGAGCCGTTCTGACAAAATGAGTTACTTCTCGCAATCCACAAATGGAGATATTGGGGAACAAATCAACACTAGGGTCAAATTTGTAGATTTTCTATTGATGCCATATTCTTTAAGTGTAATATGCCTGTTATTATTTCATACTTATGTATTTTTAAAACTTATAAGCGTAATGTATCTGTTTCCATACGGCTCGAATCCAAGAAGTAACTCATTTTGTCAGCACGTTTCATAAATATTTTTTGAGGGGTTTCTGTAAAAATGTCTACATTAGTAAGCAGGCCTATCCGGGGAGAGAATAAGCTAACACAAGTCTTAAATACCATTTGAATATTAAAACTTCTTCAAATTATTCTGCATGCACAAAGGAGGACGTGATAAAAGTCATGTGGCTGCTTAGTCAGTAATTCTCTACATGTATTTTGTTAGTTAAAAAGAAACTTGTTGGGGATATTTTTTCGACGTTCACGGTATCTTAAAATCGGAATTTCGTAATTTAAGATGGTAAATACTGCACTATGTTCTAACCTTTGGTCAAAAGCAAACATCCGAGGAAGTCTTCCGATTTGCAAACGATTTAGTCAACTATAGTGCGGTAAAAAAAATTCGTGGTGAGACTTATTGTCAAATATCTCCTCAACTATCGAACACAGGTTCTCCAATTTTTGCACAGTCACTTGTATCAATTTGTCTTAACAGGTCAACATTTTTGTAAACACCTGCAATCTGTATTATAGAAAATTCCTTAATAAATACTAATAAAAAGTAGTAGAAAGTGGTTTCTACAGATTTTTGAATGTTTTAAGCTGGGTCAATATTGCTTTTAATAGCAAGTCCGTTAGGTTTTTCTAATTGGGACATTATACTTATTGAACAAATGTTTTGAGAGCCGTTAGTGCAAAAAGTGTTCACTATAACAATAATTCCTTTTATCAAGTTTTGCAAGTAAAAATTGTCATTGATGAGCTGTGACATAGGCCATATTATGTGTAATCAAAATGTGTGTGAGAAGCGGGAAGTGCTGTGAACAATACTTTTTTACGCGCGACAGAGATGTCAAGTATTTTATATTAATTTATGAAAAAAAGTTTTTTAATCTAGGCCCAAATTATTCTGGGAAAATATGATTAAGTTAAGACAAATTGATACATATTGCTATGCAAAGTATGGATGACATTGATTCACCCGTTAAAGAGATATTTGTGAGGCAGCGTGGTGGAATCAGGCTCTCGTCAATTTTTGGGCATGTAGATTTATTGGTATCATCTTAAACCTTGTTCACTTGTCTTTATTTGGATGAAAAAAATATCTCTTTACCTTGAATACAAGAAAAGATATTTGCGAAAGAAGGAGGTGGGGGTCACCTGTTTTCAGAAGTAAAATTAGAGAGAAAATGGCCGCCACAGATTAGTTATTTCCTTAGCTTAAGAGTTCGTGGTAACTGAAAATTTACATGTTTTGTGCCTTTAATCAACGTTTTTCAGAAAAATCCACACAGAAGTTAATTCTTTAATGGGCATGAAAGTGTTGAACCAAAAAAAGAGAAAATTTGATGAAAATTCACAAACCTGCGGAAAGATGTAAGTTTCGTCACTTTGATTATTTTGACGAGAGCCTGATTCCACCACGCTGCCTCACATTTGAGGATAAATTGCACCACGATTTTTTGACCGCACTATAGTAGTAAACAAAGAACTTGAACAATCACACAAAGTAAACGGTTTCTAAACATTGTCCAGTGTAAATGGACTGTCCTGTCGTTGGCCGATTCTGGGATGATATTAATTTCCTTCTGTTTCAAAAATCCCTTTTCTAAAATTGTGAATTCACGAAACGGAACTTAATGGTGG